CTGCCATAGATGAAGGGGTTAATTACGCTATTCAACACAACTAAGAAGGCAAGAGGAAAGGTAGCATCTTGATGATCGCGATATGAATCGAATGAGATCACCCATCCACCTGAGATAGACATTCGAGCTTTTTGCGAGTGTGCAGAAAAGAATCTCGTGAGCTTACCAAGAGAGTAGATTGTTTGGCAACCAGGTAATAACATAGACAAGAATAAGGAGAAGCGTTATCCGTAATGACCGCACCTTGGCACGACTGAGTTTGTCTTGGCCCCGCAAGGTCCTCGTTGTCAGTGATACTGAAAACCACAGATCAGTGTTTATTAACGGTAGAAAGATAAAACTATCAGAGTCCACCAACCCCCTTTGGCATGCGCCACGCATTCAACGTCCGTTCAGAATCATCGTGACTTTTGGAATGCGAACCGACTTTTTTCTGCGGGTAAGCAAAGCGCAGTTTTTATCCCGTAGTGTAGGTTATTTAATTTTATTTAACAGTTTCACTGTTCGAATGTGAAAACCGAAAAAGTTTTTTCGCGAAAGGCTCTGAAAATCTCAAGAAGCGCATATTTTTTCTTCCTCCGGGTATTTAGTGTTTTGCTCCTCCCTCAGCGCTAATTTTCGAAAGTTTTGTAACGAAGGTTTTGATACCTCTTCATGTATATTTGTCGAGCAGCGAAACTTCAGGAATTTATGCAAAGAAAAGAATACGTAACAGGCGATATCGAGTTTCCCCGTCTTTTTACCACTCAAATTTAAACGACAGGGCGGGAAAACTCGTCCGTCGGGCGCGGCGTCGCCCGCCACGCCCACGAATATGGTATATTACGACTGTCTTGGCACATACACCTTGCCCCCAAACAACACTCATCCTCCAAGCGTTTTTATACCTTGGTAGAGTCATTATACTGAGGGAATGAATTCGCTCTATTTGGATTTTATTGAGAGTCACGGGAAGTCCTCACTGGAGGAGCAAATGGAGACCGATAACTTATTTCTTTGAGAGGTAGGATCGAATAAGTATTGAAATGGGGAATAATTCGGAAAGCTGTGCATCGTTCCCGATCATTTAGGATCAATTTTATGTTTATGTAGTCTTTTCACAATTCCTTGAACACGAAACAAGTTTGGGATTCTGAAAAGCGGGGTAAGTAAGAAATTAGGCCGCTGGGCTGACAGTTCAAACCTTTCGCACTCGTTTTTCTCCTCAAGGAACTTTCTTTTTCTTCTTTTGTTCTCAAGGTCTATTAGCATTGTATATAACGTAAAGTCTATTTCTAGGCATTGAAAACTCCCTACGGAATTGTTTTGCACTATGAAAGTTGAAGGGAACCACAACCCGCTATTCATTTCCCTTATAAAGTCGCGCTTGAAGGCGCTTCTGGCTTACCTGCACTTTCAAGGTCCTTTTTGGAAGGTTTCTTTGTTAAAGAGGATTGCTTGCTTAGATCCGAAATGAACCACGCAGAAGACATCTCCGGCTCGGAAGAGTTCAGCGTTTTGTAGATATCCTGAAGATAAGGTTACAGATGGCAGCGCTTATTTATTGGTGTCAAGCTACTATTCAGCTTCCAGTACCAAGTTGCAGCCTAGGCTAACATTACTGAAAACTTCAGTAATGCAGTCTACCCCCTCCGACACTTTGTCTCCTAATATTTTGGTTCTCGGTT